GCCTAGAGGTGCAGCTCCCCAGGGGAAGCAGGGATGGAGGCACCACTAGGCCCTGAACTGTACCCACAAAGCTCCATATATGTCCTTCCCCTGGGACTATAGCAAGAGAGAGCGGCTGGGAGCAGGGCCTTCTCTGCATCTGGACTGCACCCAGTGACACTTCCCACCCATCTTGAGCCCAGAGACACTCTCCCTCAGCTCAGCCCAGCCATGCTCAGGATGCCACCCCTCCTTATCCCTCTGCCAGAGGGCTGAGGCCAGCGATTGCTGCCCCCTTCCTGGCCAGAGCTCAAACGCCTACAGAGTGAAAACAGTTACCAGGGAGACATATAGGATAAACAGCTGAAAGGCTGAAACCCAGGAGCTTTGCTTCTGGGAATATCCAGGATTTCCTAGGAAGCCCAGGCCACACCATGGAGCAGGCAACTGGTTCTGCAGAGAGAGGCTGCCTGTTCCTACAGCAGCTTCTGTTGGAGCTGGCACCCCTGGACCTGGTCACAGACCGCTTTTTCTTGGCAGGCCACTTGGGGCCTGGCCGTTTTCAGACAAGAAGCTGGTCATTCAGGTCTAAAAACAAACTTGCATTCATTAAGAAACAGAGCATGCCTGTACTCCGGTGGCCACCCTCTGCCGGGCTTGCTGGAAAGAAGACCCGCAGACAGCCTCAGCCGCTCAGACACCCCCAACCCCAGGCTGCCAGTAGGTGTGGCTACTCTTGGGACAAGTCAGCTCTGTCCATCCAGCGCACTCCACTCCAACCACCAAGCGACCTCAGAATCATTCTGACCTTGTGGGCCCACCAGGCTCTTCTCAGTGATCAGGCAGGTTGAAGGGGTCTCAGGGTCCTGGAGAGCCTGAGTGTGGAGGCAGGAAGACAGGGAGGCAGGCCTGGAAGTACCTCACTGCTGACGGGCCTTGGGGAAGCCACTCGCTCTTTCTGGGCCTCAGTTTCGCCTCTGCAACAAGGCAAGAAACTCTCATCCCAGGAGGGAAGGAAATGCCCGAGGGAAACACAAAGCAGAGCCCAGCACTGGGTGGACTACAAATGGCCACTGGCCCTCTGTGGTCAGAAGAACCCGTCGCAGGAGTGGCTGGCAGAGCACAGTCCTCCAACGGCTGCCAGCTTCTCCGCCTTCCTCCTATAAATACCAGCTGAAGGCCTGCTATTCTCTCAGCTCTATGTAAGCGTTGTGTATGCTAAGAGGGGTAAGGCAAGCTACTATCCCCAAATGCCTGGTGGAAGAGGCAGACATGACTAATATTTACATAAATCAATACATAATTATAATTGTGAAATATATTCTATAAAGGAAAAGTGCAGTGTCCTAGGAAGATCTCTATCGGGGAGGCCCACCTCAGCCAGGCAGAGCTGGGAAGACGTCTCTGAAGCAGCAGCAGCATTTGAGCTGATATTCAATGGGTGCTAATCAGGTGGGGTTGAAGGTGGATGGAAGGAGCTGGAGAGGAGTCATTGTAAAGAGGTTATGAGGTTATGATGTACGAAGGTCCTGTGGCCAGAGGTGTGTGGCATTTATGAGGAACAAAAACAGAGCCTTTGTGTCTGGAGGGTAGAAGTGAATAGTGAAGTGGTGAGCAATGAGTCTGGAGAGGTTGGCAGCGCTAAATCATGCAGGCCCTGTGGGCCCCAGTAAGGTTTTCATCATTCTCTTAAAAGCAATGGGGAACCAATGAAGGGATTTAAATAGGAAAATACACTGTCAACTTTGTATGTTAAAGAGATCGCTCTGATACAGAGATTTGCTTCAAAGTAATCCAGAGGAGGCTGGGCAAGGGGAGTAGAGGACAAATATTGATGAAATAGGAACAACTTTACATTTGTGGTTATTGCACCTGGGTGATGGCTTCATGGGCGTCCACCCTACTGCCGTCTCCTTTTTTTTGTTTAACTTTTTACATGGAGACAGATCAGTTAAGAGACTGTATTCCAGCAGAGAAATAATGTCTCGGACTTGGTGGCAGTGAAGATGGAGGGCCAGAGATAGATTCAAGATATATATTTCCAAATGGTGATCCCTGTTGGTGGCCTCTCCTATCAAAGCACTCAAACCAAGTAAGGAACAGAGAGATGAAAGAAATAGATGGAGGCCCTGGCAGGGAAACTTAGCTGGTGATCAATTAAATGTAGGGGATAAGGGAAAAATATAAAATGACTCTTAATTTCTGATTTAATCAAGTAGGATACTACTTTTGCTGAGACAAAACAGAGGAAAATGTATTGGGAAAAGAAAGTCTTTGAAGGAAACAACCATGAGTTCAGTCTTGAACATGTGTGAGAAACATTTAAGTGGAGATGTCAGGCTATATACGGGTAAAACACTCAGAAGAAAGGTCCAGCTGGAGGGAAAACTTTCTGAGTTACTGCCCCATGGTAGTACAGACTCTAGGAAGCTTCCCCAGGGAAAGTGGGTACATAAAGAAGAGACGCTATCAACAAGGGTGCCAAGACCAACTCAGTGAGGGAAAGAATAGTATTTTCAGAAAAATATGCTGGAACAGCCCTAGCCAGTTTGGCTCAGTGAATAGAGTGTCAGCCTGAGGACTAAAGGGTCCAAAGTTCAATTCCCAGTGATTAGGGCACATGCTCAGGTTTTGGGCTCAATCCCTAGTAGGGGGCATGTAGGAAACAGCCAATCAATAATTCTCTCTCATCATTGATGTTTCTCTCTCTCTCTCTCTTCCTCTTCCTTACTCTCTGAAATAAATAAAAATATATTTTTTAAAAATGCTTCTACAACCAGATATGCACAGGCAAAATAACTAAGTTAGACCCCTATCTCACACCATATATAAAAATTACCTAAAAAAAAAATCAGAGTTAAAACTCTTAAATCCTTAGAAAAAAACATAGGTGTAAATCTTTGTGACTTTCGATTACACAATGGTCTCTTAAGATATGACACCAAAACCACAAGAAACAGAAGAAAAAAATAGATAAATTAAATGTCATAAAAATGAGAAACTTTTGTGCTTTTACCATCAAGAAAGTGAAAAGAAAACCCACAGATGGGAGAAAATAATTACAAATCATATCCTAATATATAAAAACCCAGGATCCATAACATCCAAAACGACCAAAGGCTCGACTGACCGAAGTCAGTGCTGGGTCGCCACGGCCGCTGCTGTGGGTGCCCCAACCCAGCACTGACTGCCGAGGGAGCTGCAGATCAGGCCCAGAGAGAGGCCTGGAGAGAAAACCAGGGTCTGATCCATAGCCTCGGTGGCAACTGTTGATCAGCACTTGCCTCTTTTTTCCCTCTGGGCCAGGCCAGCAGCTGGGCCTCTCTTTCTCTTGGGCTTCCTCTGGGCTGCTGATCAGCCCTGCCTCTCTGATCAGGCCCTTTGATAGGCCCAGAGATGCTGACTGGCATAGAAACCGACCAATCAGAACCAAATCTGAGTAAAGTGTGAGGAGCCAATGGCTGCCTGGGAGGTGGAGCTTTTGACGCTGACTGGCGTAGAAACCAACCAATCACAACCTAATCTGGGTGAACTGAGAAGGCAGAACCTAAGGTGGGGGCTGAGGAGGGGTTTTAAGGGCAACAGCTGATTGGTGTAAGGAGTAAGAAAGTGGTTCAATTTTTTAATGCCCAGTTTGGTAGTATAGTGCATATGGCTGGCTATCAGTCCAGATGTAGGGATTATGTATTTTTGTCTGCCAAGATCATCTCCTCCTGATGAAAAAGGCTTCCCCCCGCCCCCATTTAAGCAATCCTATCCTATATAATCTATCTATACTAATAACAGGGTAATATGCTAATTAGACTGGGTTGACTGGCTATCTTCTGGATGTCCAACTTCCTTCCAGACAAAGCCATGGTGGTGGGGACCGAGGCAGAGGCTGTTAGGGGTGATCGTGCTGGCAGGGGAGGGCAGTTGGGGGCGAGGTCAGGCCGGCAGGGGAGGTAAGTTGGGGGTGAGATCAGGATGGCAGGGGAGGGCAGTTGGGGGCAAGATCAGGCTGGCAGGGGAGGACCATTGGGGGCAACCAGGACAGCAGGGGAGGGCAGTTGGGGGCAAGATCAGGCTGGCAGGGGAGGGCAGTTGAGGGCAACCAGGCTGGCAGGGGAGGGCAGTTGGGGGCGAGATCAGGCTGGCAGGGGAGGACCATTGGGGGCAACCAGGACAGCAGGGGAGGGCAGTTGGGGGAAAGATCAGGCCAGCAGGGGAGGGCAGTTAGGGGCGATCAGGCAGGCAGGCAGAGGCAGTTAGGGGCGATCAGGCAGACAGGCAGAGGGGTTAGGGGCTACCAGGCAGGCAGGCAGAGGCAGGGGTGATCAGGCAGGCAGGCAGAGAGGTTAGGGGTGATCAGGCAAGCAGGCAGATGAGCGGTTAGGAGCCAGTGGTCCCAGATTGTGAGAGGGATGTCCGACCACCGGTTTAGGCCCGATCCCTGTGGGGACATCCCCGAAGTGGTCCCCGATTGGAGAGGGTGCAGGCTGGGCTGAGGGAACACCCCCCTGTGCACAAATTTCATGCACCGGGCCACTAGTATATCATAAGAAACTGGTATCCAGAACATACAAAGAACTCTTATAACCTTGAAGATATTATACTAAGTGAACTAAGCCAGTCACAAAAAGACAAACACTGTATTATACCACTTCTCTGAAGAAATCTAGAGTAGTCAAATTCATAGAAACAGAAAGTAGAATGGTGGTTGCCAGGGGCCAGAGGAGGGGAGCACGGAAAGTTATTTAGAGGATATAGAGTTTCAGTTTTGCAAGATAAAAAGTTCTGGTAATGGACTGCACAATAATATGAATATACTTGCTACTACTGAACTGCACCAATGAACTTAGAAATGGTTAAGATGGTAATTTTCATGTTATGTGCTTTTCTTTTTTTGTTTTTCATCAATTTTATTTATTTATTTATTTATTTATTTATTTATCTATTTATATTGTTGACAGTATTACAGATGTCTCCCATTTCCCCCTGCCCCTCCCTATTTACTACCCCTCCATCTAACCCCTACTCACCCCCGCAGGTCTTCACCACACTGTGTCCATGGGCTATGCATATCCTATCTAATAAAAGAGAAACATGGTAATTAGCCGTACCTCCGCTACCCTTCCCATTGGCTAATCAGGGTGATATGCAAATTAACTGCCAGCCAAGATGGCGGACGGCAGCCAGGCAGCTTGAAGCGAACATGAGGCTTGCTTGCTTCAGTGACGGAGGACTCCAACGTTCCCCACCTGCTGCTGCTGGCCTCTGAGCTTGCAGTTTGAAACATTGTTACAAATATAGAAGCTAAACAAAACCCCAGAAACCTGCTTTCAGCCAGCAGGGATCTCAGAGCTGGAGTTGATACAGAGTTTTGATTATAGAACCCAAACAAACCAGATACCTGCTTTCAGCAGCAGAGACCTCAGAGCTGGAGCCAGAGCTAAAGCTGGCCCAGAATAAAAAAGAAAAAAAGGAGCAGTTGGGAGCTTCAGTCACCCGCCAGCCTGAAAACAGCCCTCAGCCCCTCATCCAGGCTGGCCAGGCACCCCGGTGGGGACCCCCACCCTGATCCAGGACACCCTTCAGGGCAAACCAGCCGGCCCCCACCCATGTACCAGTCCTCTATCCTATATAGTAAAAGGGTAATATGTCTCCCAGCACCGGGATCAGCGGAGCCGAGAGGCATCCCAGCACCGGGATCAGCGTGACAGGGGGCAACACCCAAACCCCCTGATCGCCCTGCGGCTCTGTGTGACAGAGGGCGGGGCCCCAACCTCCCTACCCGCCCTGCTCTCTTCATGACAGGGGAAGGTGCCCCAACCCCCTGATCAGCCCTGCTCTGTGCCTGATAGGGGGGGGCTCCCCAACCCCCTGATCGCCCTACGGCTCTGTGCGTGACAGGGGGTGGCGCTGCAACCTCCCCATCGACCCTGCCTTGAGTGTGACAGGGGGCGGCGCCCCAACTCCCCAATCAGCCCTACCCTGAGCATGACTGAGGGTGGCATCGCAACCTCCCAATCCACCCTGCTCTGTGCATGACAGGGGGCGGTGCCCCAACTCCCCAATCGGCCCTGCTCTGAGCCTAACCAGGGGCTGCACCTAGGGATTGGGCCTGCCCTCTGACACCCAGGAGCAGGCCTAAGCCAGCAGGTCGTTATCTCCCAAGGGGTCCCAGACTGCGAGAGGGCACAGGCCAGGCTGAGGGACCCCCCCTCTCCCCGAGTGCACAAATTTTTGTGCACCGGGCCTCTAGTCTATATAATAAAGAGGTAATATGCTAATTTGTCCATTATGGTGTCACAGTCACAACCAGTTTGTGGGCAGGGCCAGGGGAAGGGACTTCTGCCACCAGTGCTAACATCACGCTGCCTGTGTGCATCCCTGTTCAGCACTGGTATGACACTGCGGGGGAGGGAGAGTCTGGGCTTGATGGGGGACCTAAGGCCGCGCCCCCTCACCCCAGTTCTGGTCCGGGAGACCTCAGACTGTGCCCCCTGCCACAACCCCAGGCCGGGAGGCCTCAGACTGTGCCCCCCCACCCGGCAGGGCCTGACAGAGGACCTCAGGCCATGCCCCCCCACCACGGCGCCAGTCCAGGAGACCTCAGGCCATGGCCCCCACCCGCAGGGCTTGATGGGGTACCTCAGGCCGCACCCCCTACCCAGTGGGTCTTGACAGGGGACCTCAGGTCATGCCCCTTGCCTGGTGGGGCTTGACGGGGGACCCCTGCCCCGGCTCCAGGCCGGGAGACATCAGGCTGCACCCCCTGCCCAGACTCTGGGCTGGGAGATCTCAGGCTATGCCCCCCGCCCAGCGGATCTTGACAGGAGACCTCAGGCTGCACCCCTCACCCAGTGGGGCTTGACAGGGGACCTCAGGCCATAGCCCCCACCCCAGCTCTGGGCTGGGAGTCCTCTGACTGTGACCTCCTCCTTGGCGCCGGGCCGGGAAACCTTAGGCTGTACCCCCCGCCCCAGTGCCAGGCCTGGGGACCTGAGGCTGTGACCCTGCCCAGAGGGGCTTGACCAGGGTGGGACCAGCTGGGTCTAGGTCTCACTCAATGGGGGTGGGGCCAGCCAGGTCTGGGTCTCCTGTGTTTTAGAAGCACATGAGGGTGGTGGGCGGGGACTTGACTCTAGGTCCCACGGCACACCCCAGACTCTTACAGGATGGAGATTTTATATACATTTTACTAATTTTCTTTCATCTTTGACACTTCTATTATAGAGAAAGGGCAAATAGCAATATTAAAATATTTCTTCTCATTAATTCTCTTTTAATGTGCATGAATTTCATGCACCAGGCCACTAGTCTATATATATAAAAACAGGTAATATGCAAATTAGCTGGGCATCACGACTGGCTCAGAAGGAGGCTGCATCACAACCACTCAGGAGGAGCTGTGAGCACAGATGGGCGGAGGGGACTGTGTGCCACCCACAGCCCCAGCGGACACACACCAGGGGTGGGGACGTGTTCTGAGTGGCTGCAGCATGGCTTGGAGCATGCCCCCAGTGGGTGGCAGCAGCGGCTGGAGCAAAGCAGCCCCGGTCCCAGATGCCTGGCGGTGGCTGGAACAAAGCAGCCTGGGTTCCAGGTACCTGGCAGTGGCAGGAGCAAAGCAGCTGGGGTCCTGGGTGCCAGAGGGAAGCCGGTGCTGGCAGCCAAGGGAAGGAAGGCCTATTCTTGCATGAATCTTTGTGCATCGGGCCTCTAGTAAGTATATAAGTTCTTTGGTCTATCTCTTCTTGTCTCCTCACCCCCACATGGAGGTATTTCAGTCTGTTCCATGCCTTCATGATTCAGGTTTTATTTTATAGGTCAATTTGTTTTGTTCATTAGATTCCACAAATAAGTGAGATCATGTGATATTTGTCTTTTTTTAAAATATGTTTTATTGATTTTTTTACAGAGAGGAAGGGAGAGAGATAGAGAGTTAGAAACATCAATAAGAGAGAAACATCGATCAGCTGCCTCCTGCACACCCCCTACTGGGGATGTGCCTGAAACCAAGGTACATGCCCTTGACCGGAATCGAACCTGGGACCCTTCAGCCCACAGGCTGATGCTCTATCCACTGAGCCAAACCAGTTAGGGCGATATTTGTCTTTTTCTGATTGGCTTATTTCACTTAGCATAATAGTTTCCAGGTCCATCCATGCTGTCCCAAAGGGTAAGAGATCACTCTCTTCTATAGTTGCATAGTATTTCATTATGCAAATGTCCCACAGCTTTTAAAATAGATATATACTAGAGGCCTGGTGCACGAAATTCGTGCACTGGGCGGGGGGGGGGGGGGGGGGGACGCCCACAGCTGGGATTGTGAAAGGGCACAGGCCAGGCTGAGGGACCTCACCGGTGCACGATTGGGGCCAGGGAGGGACACAGGAAGTTGGCCAGCTGGGGAGGGACCACGGGAGGGCACCAGGGTGTGTCCAGCCCATCTCACTCAGTCCCAATCAGCCAGACCCCAGCAGCAAGCTAACCTACCAGTTGGAGCGTCTGCCCCCTGGTGGTTAGTGCGTGTCATAGTGACTAGTCGACTAGTTGACTGTCTGCCCCCTGGTGGTCAGTGAACAGCATAGTGAGCAGTTGAGCAGCCTTAGCATATCATTAGCATATTACACTTTGATTGGTTGAATGGTTGACTGGACAACTGGACACTTAGCATATTAGGCTTTTATTATATAGGATGATTGATTTTAGAGAGGGAGGGAGAAAGAGAAACATCAATGATAAGAAAGAATCATTGATCGGCTGCCTCCTGCACACTCTCCACCAGGGATCAAGCCCGCAACCCAAGCATATGCCCTGGCCAGGAATCAAACAGTGATCTCCTGGTTCATAGGTCAATGCTTGACCACTGAGCCATGCCAGCTGGGCCCACATCTTTTTTATCCACTCGTCTACTGATGGGCACTTGGGCTGTTCCAAACCTTAGCTATTGTAAATAACACTGCTATTTTCATAGGATACATATATTCTTTCTCATTGGTGTTTCAGGGTTTTTAAGATATATTCCCAGAAGTGGGATTGCTGGGCCAAATGGCAGTTACATTTTTTATTTTTTTAGGAAACTCCATACTGTTTTCCATAGTGGCTGCACAGGTCTGCATTTGCACCAGCAGTGAACTAGGGTTCCCTTTCTCCACATCCTCACCAGCACTAGTTATTATGCGTTTTCTTAACCACAATTTAAAACTTTTTAAAAAGGGATTCTTAAAACTGAACAATAAAAAGACAAATAATCCAACTAAAATGGGCAAATACTTGAGTAAATATTTTTCCAAAGAAGATATCAAAGACCAATAATGAAAAGATGCTCAACATCTCAAAATCACAATGAGATACTGCTTCACACCCACTAGGAGACTATGATCAGTGCCAGGTGCTGGTGGGTCGTGGAGAAATTGAAACCCCCATATATTGCTGATGAAAGTGCTTTGGAGAACAGTTTGGTGGTTCTTCAAATGGTTAAACACAGAGTTACTGTATAACCCTGCAATTCCACTCCTAGGTTTATATCCAAGAGAACTGAAAACATGTCCACATAAAATCTTGTACAAGTATTATAATCATAGTCATCATAATAATCATAATAATCCTTATTATAATCATAGTCATCATAATAGCCCCAAAAGGTAAATCCCAAACCCATCAACTGATGAATGGATAAACTGTGGTATATATACAGTGGAATATTATTCACCACAAAAAGACATAAAGTACTGATACATGCTACAACATGAATGAATCTTGGAAACATTATGCTAAGTGAAAGAAGCCAGTCACAAAAGACCACATATTTTATGCTTCCATTACAGGAAATATCAAGAATTGGCAAACACATAGAGACAGAAAGTAGATTAGTAGTTGCCAGAGGCTGAGAGGAGGGGAATATGGAAAGTGACTGATGGGCATAGAGTTTCTTTTGGGATGATGAAACTGGTCAGGAATTAGTGATGATGGTGGCACAACTTTGTGAATTTATTAAAAGCCAACACATTGTACACTTTAAAAGGGTGAATTTTATGGTATGTAAATTATACAGTTGTCCTTTGGTATACACAAGGGGATT